AAGAATTTTCTTATTACCAGACTGCACAATTAGCATGCTTACAGCTGAACACGTGTCCCAGAACACAAAAGGAAACTAAAAAAAAATCAAAATGTAGCAGTATAGAAGGCTACTGCTACAACATCAGTAAACAATAATTAGATTGCAGTTACAGATTACACTGCATAATTATACTTAATATTCACCATCAATTTTTCATGTTCAACTACTTCACAAATAAAGTACATTACTAGGTTTCACCCTTCAGTGATGTGGGAAACACTAATATTCCTTCTATGGACAATCCAAACTTTTTATTATTATTTATAAAGTTGCAAAGTAACCAAATGAATTCCTTAGATTCTCAAAGGAGGGAGAAATGAACACAATGAGGAGGGTCTGTCTTAATTTTCTCTAATTCTTAAGCAGATGGACATGCACACAGAATTTGTTCTTGATCAAATAACTGCATGTTACCAAACTGAAAACTTATGAAGCTTTAAATTTGCTTGTCTTCAATATTCTTTTTCTGACATTTTTATCTAGATTCACTGGGGGAAAAACCCTAAAAGCAACTCACGCATCATTTGAATGGAAAAAAGTCTCAATTAACTGTTTGAGGGGGGGTGGGGGGCGGCGAGGGAAAAGAAAATCATCCAAACTAACTGAGTGAAAAGTTTCAGTGAAGTTTTCCTTGAGACTATTTTCCCCAGACAGAATTTCTGACGCAAAAAAACCGCAAGGCTTACAAAAGCAAAAAATAATAGCCCAAGGAATTGAACTTCAAGTTCATTCCCTAAATCTTTTGGTTTAGGAAGTGGAATTCCTTACAGAACAAATGCTAGAAGAGACTTACCTGAGGACAGACAGCTGTCCAGAGGCTGAAACAGACCTCAATGACGTGGCTATGCAACAAAGCTAAGACTTGTTGCCTAATCTCCCACAGTTCACAGTATTTTAACTGGAAGATCACACCAGAATACACTCTGTCTTTTTTGTTTGTTTTGTTTTAGGAAAACAAAGTTGTTGAAAAACAAACTAAATATACAAAACCCCAAAAAATAGCCTTCAAAAAACCTTGAATATCAACTAAATACAGGTTATGAACAAGAGGAAATTCTCTTCCTACCTATCTCATTCTGTGTCTCTCAACAGATATCCTGAATGCATCAAAAACTGTGGCAAGAATGGAAAAAAATGAAAAACTTCAAGAATCTGCCAACAAACGTAAGTGCATGCTGCAATCTGAAAAGTTTGACAGTGCCCACTGAAATCTAACTCAGCATTTTATTCTTTGAAGCAATATCTGATTTACACAATTGCTGACCTATGTCCTTAAGTTCCTTAGAGTACTCTAGCATTCCTAGTTTCACATCTTCTGGCAAATTAGATCTTGAAGATGAACTAAGAATGACTTACACTTGAACTTCAAATGGTAAACACCGAGGGCAATATCCTGCAGAGAGACACAAGGAAATATCCGAGACATCAGAAGCACAGAAACTGTGTTACATCACATCCCGCTGTTAGAGCATGCCAGGATACTTGTTATAAGGAGATGTAGCATGACCCAAAATTTATACATAGGTTAAAGGTCTAGAGACAAACACACGGGAAGCCACACTGTTCATCAAGTTCTTCCACACAATGTCGACAGCTTCCTTCCAACACTCTTCTCCCCAACACTATCACAGCACTTCTCCAGGCTCTTCTCTTCCTCAAAGCCCTTACTCCAGAGATCCCAACGTGCACTGCCAAGAGTGCACTTTGGGGATGTTGCATAAAATAGCTGCTGTTTTAGACACAAATAGAAACATCAGTTCCAGAAACAATTCCTAACCCTACTGGGCATCTGACAAAAACCTGCTATCTCTGGATTTTACACAAAGATGGAAATATTGTAAGAAAATAAAATTTTCAGCTTCTATAGTATCCTGCACTGTTCTGCTTCTAGGAATTTTAAGTTGAAGGAACAGTGTGAGTCTAGGCACATTCACTAAAATGATCCCTTCCTTATGAAAATGTTAAAATACATTCATAGTACCCAAAAAAGAATCCCACAGAATACCCATAAATAACACGTCAGAGGCTGGCACATTCTTTTTCTGGTAAATTTCTCCATCACTTTCACAAAACAGGAAAAGAGACCTACCAAAAGAACACTTATTCAACAGAGTTAGGGCTGTATCTATAAAGAGGTATTGAATTATAATGTTATCCAACTATAGATCTGTTGCCCCATGTGCAGTGCTTTCTGTCACAAGATTACAAATGTTTTCTCATGCAGCTTATGGAATAAAAACTAAGCCACAAACCCTACTCACTGGAGAAAAACTGAATGCAAATAACTTCAAAAATACAGGTGAATCCATCTTGCATCCATTTGGGGGTAGGTCAAATTATTCTAGCATGTCTACAAAATCTGCATGGGTATCAGTGGAGTTTTTGAAGTATGTAACTAGGTAAAACCATAATTGACCTTAGGCCTTCCCCATTTTGCTAAGTTGCAGAAATGCACTTATTTCTGGGACCTAACTGTTACCAGCCTGAACAGTTTAAAAAAAAAAAAAAAAAAAAAAAAAAAAAAAGAGCACTTTTGCTGCCTCAGCTGAAAGCCCTCAAGATGCAGTAAAAGCAGGTGTTAATTATACCTAAGATACAAAGTTTGCATACCCAGAACACAATCTCAGCAAGGAGATATTTTACCCTGCTATCTTGCACAGAGAGGGACCACACAAATTTGAGTGTGAACAACTCACACCCTGAGTGTGAAGCCTGGCTTTGTCCTTCTTTAGGACCTCACTGTGGAAACCATCCTAATGGCAGATATCAGTAAGTTTACTCATGGAAGTCCAAAATCCACCCCAGACGATAAGACCTGACCTAGGGAGAACACACATTTGGGCTATGCTGCTAAAAGAGGCTGAGCACCCTCTATTCCCATCATCTTTGATCAGGTATCAGTACTTTACAGGCTAAGATTAATGGAGCCTTTAGGGAAGGTTTAGCAGGAAAAGTACATTGGGAAATACTGGTGGAGGATCAGTTTCACTAATACATAGAACTTTCAATTTTTTATTAAAAATGATGGGTACATGGTACAAACCCTGTGCGCAGCAGTGGTGCGCATTTTCATTTCTGGAGAAGTACCATACACTAACAAACTGAACAGAAAACCTCGAAGTGATTGCTTTTAAGACTAACAAGAACTACACACAGCTAACTCCTCACGCACCAACCAGTCTTTCATCCCTGTAGTAGTATCTAAACACCGCATACTTGTGAAGAAGCAACAGCAGCAAGAACTTCCATTAAATATTTCAATGGGCAAAATTCTTCTCCAGTCAAAACAAAATGATGAGAGAGAATTGGCAACGCTGATCAAGTTGCAGTCATCTACTGTTGTCTTTTTCCCATGCATAATCTCAAAACAGTCTCATGAATTATAATTGCTAATTATTCCCACAATGAAACAAGAAGTACTAAAAAAATAGCACAGCAAACTGAGAGCGAATACACATTTCTTGCTTGACTCATATGAATTTCCTTAATTACAGACCAGAAGAAAAGAGTCAAGTTAACTATGACCAGTTACGTATATTTATTTGTGAGTACTAATTGAGGGAAAAATTATGTTTTGTTTGCAGTTGCTTATGTTCTTTTTGAACTTGAACATTTCTCAGTTGTAAGCAAGGAAGACCTAACAATTCACACTTAGGAATAAAGTATTATTGTGATTAGAAAAACATAGCGTCTGCCTATTTGGCCTATATGTACACCACATTCTCTTCAATAAATTAAAGAAAACGACACAGATATAGCGAATACAACTCTTGGCTGAACTAGTTTTCAGAATATAAAATAACTAATTAAGGCAAAGGAGGCTGCTAGAAAACTTGAGCACTTGTTTAACAATAGAGCTGTAGGGAATAGACCACCGCTGTCGCTGATAACACAGTGGGGGGGGGAGGAGGGGGGAGCATCACCGAGATACACTTGTCTACTTAAATACCAGTGAACCCGGTTCCTGAGGTCAGTTCTTGTTACTGATAACTTTAACGGGTGAAGAATTGTACCTGGCATTAAGGAGGCTGCACTTCTAAATCAGTTAAGATAAACGTTCTAGAAAAACACTCAATTGCTCTGCAAAGTGAGAAGAGGCTGTATCTCAGCTCTTCCCTCGCAGTTTAGGAAGAGGTGGGTCAGGCGCGAAGCACGCAGGAGACACCGCAGCAGCCCCACCGCACACACGCTGTAAAACACCAAACCGCAGCACCTACTAGTCGGGTTACAAGAGAAGAACGCGTGGGCTTGCGCGACTGAAACACCACCAAACAGTTATCATCCCCTGCGCCTTCCCTACCGCTCGGGATCCTCACTTATCCTATTCATACCCAGAAGGCACCTGGGGCCCGCCCCGCGTCCGCCCCGGCCCATGGGAAGGGGTGCCCGGCCACGGGGGCGACAGGTTGAGATGGAAGAGGGGGAGAAGGAAACGGAGGCAGCACCCACTCCCGCCGCGGGGGCGGGCAGGGCCCCGGGAGAAGCCGCCAGCCTCCGGCGGAGCCCGACCCGGCAACTCCGTGCTCCCGGCTGGTGCTGCGGGGCATGGTCCCGCCTCGAAACCTTTAAGCCCCGCCGCAATGCTCTCTGCAACTTCCGCGGCTCCGGCGGCGGGGGGGCCCGAGGGCTCCGGAGCCGCCTCGACGCCTCCGGGGCCGCGGAGCGGTGGCGGCCGGTCCTGCCCTGCCCTGCCCTGCCCTGCCCGCCGCCGCGCCCCTCTCCCACCCCAGCCGCAGGCGGTAGGGAAGTGGGAAGTCCCGGAAAAGCAGGTCCCAGGTACTTCCTCAGGTGAGGGAGCTGGACGTAGGGCTCCGGCTGCGCTCGCCGCCGCTGCCCTGGGAGGAAGCAGGTGAGACCGGGACTCCCCCCCTCACCCACCCCCACCGTAAATAAAGCCGAGACAAAGTCACCATCTGGGGAGGGGGCGGGGAGCTGCATTAGACGTGGAAGTCACTTACCAGCTTTGCAAGGATCCTTATAATCTATCGCCTCGGCTTTATCCTCTTCAGTGAAATCGTAAGTGTAGTCATAATCAAGGCCAGAGCAGCAGGAAGGCTTCCCGCAGACAGTCCACCCGGCCAACCACAGTGCCATCCTCCAGCAAAGCATCTTCATCCTCCCTCGGGCGGAGAGGTGGTGGGCAGGGCGCGGGTGAACTAGGCGGCCGGTTCGGCCGTCCACGCCGACTTGGGAAAGGAGGGTAAGGGATGGAGGAACCACAGGTTTTGTGGAGGGGCTGTTTTTGGGTTTTTTTTTTTTTTTCCTTCTCCACCTGGGGGCTCTTCCGGGAGACGGTACTCCCTAGGTAGCCCCAGTCAGGCGGGTGCGACACAAAGTGAGGAGCATGAGCGTCGCTGCCCCTCCTGCCCTCTCGTCAGGGAAAAGTCTCAGGGTGTGTGGGTGGGCGCAGGGGGTGGACTCAGGCTGGGAGATCCTGTCTGTCAGGGCGTCCCCTCGCCTCTGTCAAACCCCAGCCAAACTTCCCGCGGAGGAGGAGGCGGCGGCGGACTGCCCGCGTCCCGTTCCGCGCCCGGCCCGCGCCCCGCTGCGCGTCCGCCGCGCCGCCAACCCCGGTCCCGGTTCTGATGCTACCAGAAGATGGATCCGGGCTGCACATCAGTAAACTACCACAGGGAGAGGGGAAAAGAAAAAGAAAGAGAAAAGGAAGGGAAGAAAAGGGAACGGGCGGGGTGGGGGAGGGAGGGTGCACTACAGCAAACCGCGGAGCTCTAGTGATGGGAGGCAGCAGCTATGCTGGAGGGAGCAAAAGTGTCAGAGCTTCGCCCCCCTCTGCACAAACACTCTAAGCTCTGTCTCTGGTCTGTCCCCCCTCCTCCGTCCCCCTTTAACTTACGAAAACCTTACAGGCAACTAACACACAGTCGTCAGCATCCTGCTTACTTATTCATACAGTCAGGGTCAGGATCCGGGCTGCTTCTGATCTGCTCCCTTGATAGTGTGTCTTATGGAAACACGCGCATTCACTATACGCCTCTATCTCCATATAGCTTTCTCTCTAAATAAGTAATGCGTGGCATTTAAACAACAACAACAAAAGGATCGAGATCAGATAAAACAATGCACAGATCGACACCCGACAGCCAAAAAAGAGCAAGAGAATGGGTGTTGAGAAGAATTAACTACAATTTAGGAGACGGATAAATAAATCAGTGTCTGTGTATTTCCCCCTCTGCTGCGGCTGCTTTGCAGTGTTAGCCCCATGAGCTGAAGGGTGGGGGTTAAGGAGCGAGGGGGAGGGGGAAAGAGAAAAGTTTAAGCGCCCACAGTTTGTTTAAAACAGAGGAAGGCAATATAAAAGGTCCATTGGTCTCCAGAAGTTCAGCCAAGCAACCGGGAACCGGTTCCAAAATGAAAGTAAGAATAAACAAACAAACAGGAAAAAAAAAATCAATGCGAACAAAAAGTAAAATCGTAGCATGCAGCAGCAGCGCGCAGATCTTGCAGTCGGGTTTTCCTGCTCTCACGTGGATCTCCAGGAGAGTGGTGGGGGCTTATTTTCCAAGCGAAGTTTCCGCGGGAGCCGCCGCCCCGCTCCGCGGTGTCCTGCCTCGCCTCGCCCGGCCCCGCCGCGCTTCAGCGCCGAGGCGCCCCGAGCCGCCGCCGGCTGCGCGGGGCCGGGTTTTGTTTTAAAGCCCGAGAAGGGATAAGCGCGCAAAGCCTCATTTCAGCCGATCAACCTGGAGAGGGAGGGGGAGGAGGGGTGGAGATACGTGCTGCTCGAATAAAACAAGATCAAGCGGAGAGGAGGGGGGGGAAATGTATATAGGTAGTTAAGAGATCTCCCTGCCTGCCTCCTCCCCTCCCCCGAGAAGGGCAGCTCCGATCCTGCAGAAACGCCTGAAACTGTTTCAGACCAAGGTGAGACTTTTCCGTAGCAAACTCTACTCCTCCTCCTTTTACGAGTTTCCATGGGAAAGGGCGGGGGGGACGACGAGGGGTGGGTAGAGGGGTGTTTCTTCTGCTCCCATTTCGCCGGGGTGTCACATTTAACACGGACTTTTGAAAGGGCTGCCGCGGAGAGGCGACTGCGTCTTTCTCTCGCTTCCGAGCCCGCACAGGGTCGCTCTCTTCGCAGCACTTCCCGGTAACCTTCTCTCTGTGGCAGGAGTGGAAATCCGGAGATAGTCCCTTCCCCTGCCTGTGCCAGGAGCGCAGGCAGAGCCGGCGGCGCGCCCCCTGGCTCCGCGGGCGCGGACCGCCCCAGGTGCCGCGGGGGCGGGAGGGGCACGGAGAAAGCAGTTACGCAAACTCCGGGTAGGCACAGCCTGCTACCGCAGCTGTCCAGGGGCTGGGCACAACTTTCTGTCAAGACCTAGCTGCTCCCAAAAAACGGGGGGTGGGGCAAGGCGATGGGGTCTGGGGGGGTGGGGAGAGCAAGGCGCAAAACCTCTTTTCAAATGACAAAAAGTGTACTGCCTGCCCAGAGACGGTGCGTCTGCCCCTGCCATTCTGCGAATGAAGGGTTAGTGTTGCTATAGATAGGCACTCTCAGCGGGTCATACCATTAAAACTGGAAAGGTCAGTTAAGGCAGAGCTAATAACAGCTTAATAATAGAGCATATTAAGGAGTCTGGCACCGAGTAGCATCACTGTCTTTGGAGCATCCATGTGTTGTGCTTCCTTGCATTTTTGGCATCCACATTGTGTCCATGTTACTCCTAATTCAGTCTTGTTGCTTCAAAGTTGAAAGCCAAAAAGAGAAACTGCCACTGAAAAGGTGCAGCCTTCACTAAGGAATCACTCTTCTCTGTCCCAGCAGGTCAGTTTGTTGGGTGTCATAAGGCCCACAAAAAGCACCATACACCGGATGACAGAAAAGCCTGAGAAAACTGTGATCTGCTCATTTCCCCTGTTCCTCAATGTACTTTCTGTGACCAGCCACCTCAGACACTTGGAACTGATTCCAAGGAAGTTACCAGAGACCCTTCCTTGTCAATTCATCAGAGCAGTGTCAGGGTTGATGACTATCTCTGCTTGCACAGTGTCATGGTTTGGTGGGCTGTGTTATGGTAAAGAAATCAGTGTGATTCAATCTGAAATCTAGTTTCTGTTACTTTTTAATGTCCACAAAAGAGACAGTTTATCTTGCAATGTTATAAATTACATGCTCATTTGACATAGTGGACCTTTGTAACCTGGTTTTGTTATTTTACTTGGTCTTGTTTCATGTGTGCACACCTTTAAAAAGTTAATTTTTTTTGTGTGCCTATGCACCCCCATCTCAAAAAGAAACAATCTCTGTCTAGCAAGCACATGTTTGTCAATAGAGCTTTAGAAACACTGACTTTGCTGATTGCTTTACAGCCCTAGTAGAGGAATGTACAACATGCAATCCTCAACATGCCAGTCTCCCAAGTGAGGAGATTATTATAGCCTCTCCAGCGGGAGATTAACTCTCCCAGCAAGGTAGGCACTGACGTCACCCCCAGCCTCAATCTGCCCCCGACCTCAGCATCACCAGCACTGGCAGAGCAGCATCAAGTGCTCACAGTCTTGAAGACAGCTGGCCATGCAGAGCCCTGACTAAGACAGGAAACAAATTCAGAAATGCTAGATGGGAGTCATGCAGGAATCTGGGCACATAAGTGCTGTAACAAATAAATGTGTGTATAGGTCAGGGTAAAAGCTGTTTTCTGCTTGTAATCCAGAGCAGCTACACATTAGAATTACTGTTTAAAATAAGCATTGCAGCACTGCAGAAACTATTCTACATTGCTTAGGTATTAATATTCCCATCAGTCACATTAGTAAAAAGCTTTCCTTATATTAAGAGAATTTTTTCCTAGTAACTGAACTGTTTCACATTTAAAAAACAAACACCTTTCTTCCTAATTAACCTGTTAATTATTCAACCTAACTTCTTTCATGATGTAAAATTTTGAAACATTTTAAGTACAAAATATTTTTTTCTTATCACGCATTCATGTCTACCATTCCAAAAAGCTCACAACTCTGATAATCCATCTGACAACACAGTCAATCAAAAATCCATCCTACAGCCGTTTCCAAAGAAACGAACACATAGCCAGGAAGACAGAATGCTTAAGCTGGAAGGAAACCAACCAACGGAACACAACAACAGCAACAACAAAGCTCCAAGCATTTTCCCTTTTCCTTTAAATTTCCTGATTTGTGGATATATCATAGGGACACAGATAATGGTAAATGCATTTACTTTAAAAGTGGTGGTGGTGTATTGGAGGTTTTGTTTGTTTTGTTTTGTTTTTAATCTAGAAAGCTGGATGCTTTCCAGCTCTTCCTACACATACTCACAAAAAAATACAAACCCTCCACCAAAAAAAAAAAAAAAACCCAGCACCCAAAGAACCAAAAAACTTTTTTAAAAGGGACAAGTATGTACAAAAGGCAAACACAATCATGGAACTAAAAAAATACATCTGAAATATCATTGCTCACACCTCCTCCTCATTCTTTGGCTATCTGTCTCCTGCTTAGGCCTCCATCTAGTGTGGAGTTTTAGGTGGGTGGACACAATGGGCTTATTCACAAACATCAAGCTCAGCACATGCCTAAGGCTTTGAAGGCTGAAGACCATGGTGGGTCAGCTTCTTGGGACAAGGACTCATGGGATTTTTCAGAAGGCTAAAACAGAGAAGTTCTGTGGGAGCTGGTCACCTTCCTGCTTTATCTCCTGATAAACACATTCTCTGTCTCTGAGGTACCTAGAGCACTTCTGAAACAGCTGAAGTTATATATAAGCATTTTCCTATTTTCCAAATGCTTATTCTGTATACTGAGGCTGAAAGCACATTGTAGCAAATAAACTGTTTAAAGTAACAAACATACATATACACAATCATAAAGGTATACTGCGTAAATTTTATAAACTAAAATTAAAATTTTGAAGTTAAAAATCAAGCAGTAAGCTCACCTGACAAACCTTATTTCTCCCTTCTCTCCCACATGTACTCATGTATTATGAAAGTTGTTCATTTCATGTTTGCATAAAATTTTTTCTAGACCTCTGTGCTTGATTAACAAAAGGCTTCAATGTTATGTTTTCTGCTTTATTTTTGTAAGTATGCCCCATGCTTTATTCATTACACATTTATTCAGATCCCACTCTGAATACAGTTATTAATTTCCTCATGGGCATTTTATGGAGCTTGTTGCTACAGTATTTTATGGGCTTCAAAAATATTAATTATTTTAGTTTCATAATACATCCCTCAGATGAGGGGATATTGTGACAGGATATGAATATTACATTTGGAAAACAGTTATAGATTGCCTGATTTGATATCTTGTAGACCTGTCAGGACTTGGCACTACAGAAAAGCTTATTTCTTCAAGGCCTGGTTCCCACTGCTTTCAGTTGCAGTAATATCACTCACTGACTATCTAACTACCTCTAATCAAACCCTGGAGTTTTCAGGCATCTGAAAATGAGAAGCAAATATTTAGCAAGAGGTGCAATTTCAAAGCCTTGAGCCAGCTTTATCAAGGAACTTGCTGGCAGAGGCAAGGGCTAAGACACAAATTTTAAACTGTTCAGCTCTCTCAAGACTTTGGACACTGCTTCTCTTCCCATAATTCTTTTTCTTTAACACTTCCTTCAGTTTCTAGAATAAAGATGACCAGGCTCCTGCCAGCAACAGCCCCACCTTTAACAATACTCACATGATTCAGCCACTGTTTTGAATCTTCGGCTCCTCAGCACAGTACCTGTTAACATGAATAGGTACTGCTGCCTTTGGCCCAGCATTTGAAAAGATGTGTCTGTCTTCACCACTGGATTTCTTGGTTATTACTGGCAGAAGAGGGAATCTTGGGATCCCTTCCAAACTTTGGGAGAGGGTGTTTTTTAAATAGCAAACTCCCATCTGCTTGCTTCCCATGTCCATGCTTTGCCTCGTCTTGGCTTTTTATTTCAAGCCTGTCTTCATTCTCTCTTCAGTCTTGGCTGCTCATCCTACTTTTATTTTTCTTATCCAGTTAATGGTAGTTTTTGATTTGTATCCCAGTTCCAGCTGCCCTAGTTGCACTTTTCTTTAATTTTGTTCTGGGACTTCTCACTCTCAGATTCATCTTCAGCTGTGCAAGGTTCTTTTTTGTTGTTGTTGTTTTGTTTTCACTCCCTTTATTTGATCCCTTTAGTTGATCTTTCTCTTATGTCTTCTCACCCAATATAACTTTTAGTTATGTTGACATCCACCTCCCTTGTCTGTTCTTTACTCCAGGTGTGCACCATGAAGTCACTCTTGCTCCTTGACCTTTTTTCCCAGTTGCAGAGTTGTCCTCACTTCAGCCCTTACACTGATGTTCAGGCTGTTTTTGCTCTCTGCTACCCTCCATCCATTTCTTCACTTGGTTACTTCTCAGGCCTGGTTTCCTTATGCAAAAAATTTCGTTGTCCCAAAATATATCCGCCATTCCCGTTGCAGATTTCTGCTAATCACACCCCATATTCTTTCTCAGGAGCTTTATGCTCACTTTACCATGCTGCAAGATCAGTCCTTCTTCCCCACCCATCCAAGTGAAACAACCTTCCCCTCCCCATCCTACAGATACAACTGAGGTGGATTAAGCACCTGAAATCATTGCTTCTTCTCAGTTAAGTTCCATATCCAAGCCATGGCACAGCTCAAAATTATCATATAATATGTCACTGCAGATGAGACACTCAGGTAAGAGAGCTGCTAAAACTGCATGTATTCAAGGGTGGCTGTGTTAAAGGTAAAAAAAGGATATATCCCTTGACATAAGGACTGATACTCTCCTTTCTATTCTGCTCAAGATTTAACTACGTTTCCTGCAGGCTGAGCATACTGAAGCCCATCCAAAAATACTGCTATGATTTTTAATTAAGATCAAACCCATCTATTTGCAAGTTTCATTCTCAAATACCTGGACAATTTAAGCTAACTTTCTAAAAGGCAGGTTGATGAAGAAAAATTTAAAACTGAAAATCAGCTTGTAGCAAATACTAGCATAGAAAATGTTATTTCAAATTTTCACAATTAAGCAAAGATATATATAAGCAGCTTAAACAATATCTACCAACAGACAGTGTCAAGGAATTTTGATATTAGATAATCAACTAGACTGTTTATAACATGATTTGTGTCATGCCCTCTCCATTCCTAATACTCTAAAAACCGCAGAAGAGCAAAACTACATTGATAACATGTACTGATGTTAAAACAAGTAATCAAGCAACAACAACAAAACCAGTGGTGCACAACTTAAATTAGAAACTGTTCTGTGTTTGCTCAGCATCCCTGATCCTCATCAAGCAATAAATCAATTTGCAGTAGCTGTGGACAGCTATTTAAACACAAGGCCAGAAGAGCTTAATTGTTAAAGCAATGTTCAAAGCTAGAAAGTATAGGAGGATAGTGTAAGAGGTCATATTAAATATTCACTTATCTAAAAATTGCTGCATTCCAAATATTAGGAGGCATCCTGACCTTCTCTTAATTAAAAAACAAAGTCTATGAGCTTTGAGCTTAGCAGAGCTTAGCTTGCAGTTCTTCAGAATATAGATAGAAGCTGCCAGATGAAAAACTGGCATCTAAATGTTTGTCAGCTTGATTTTGTTTGGTTTACTTTTTTGTCTAACATGCAAAAAAACCCCAAAACAAACAAACAGCTAAAACCTATTTGTTTTGGAGTTTGCAGTTTATTTTTACAAGTTGATAAAGCATTCAGGATTCAATTCTCAACTTTGTAAGAGGCTGCTCCTTGTCAAAGTTGACAGCAAACTTGTGTTTTGACTTGCATCGGAGCTGATCAGGGTCACTTATCAGTCACCATTCTAGACATTGGTAGCTGGTGAACATAGTTTCTTTAGCAATTATATGGTAATGTAAGTGTAATAAACAATAACGATGATACTACTATTCCTAGACCTGTTCTTCTATGAACAAGTGTTGCCGGTAGACTTAGAAGTGACAATTGTTATTAGACTGACTAGGTGTAGAGGGTTAATCTTACCCTCCAGTATTCAGCATACTGTCACATAGCTGGGAGTCAGTGGATGATTTTTGACAGAAAAAAGCCCCTAATGAGCCTAATCTTGAGTGACTGCTGAGCATTTTGATCTTCCATTCAGCTCTAGAAGATGGAGCAGCTCAGCACCTTGCCGAACAGGATTCACGGTTTTGAGCTATGTGCCGCTTAGATGAAAAACCTCTGGTTTAGTTTACATTGTAATTTATCACTTATCTCTGGCACTTACCACAGAAAATAGGTAACACTGAGAGTGACGGTAAAGAATCAAACAATATAGAGGAACCCTACCCTAATTGGGTTTCTACGTAGCCACAATGTATTCTTCTAACTCTGGATCACTGAAAATAAATAAGGCCTATCACCAGCAGCCGGGAGGAAGAATGGCAATTGTCTTACAGAAAGTAGTAAGAAACTATGATACAAAAATTAGCAATGACAGAAATATTGTCCTGTAGTTATTAGTGTTGTTTTATTTGTGATACTATTGAGGTAGTACACTGCACAGAACTTTTACCATTTTCAACAATCTAACATATATTTCATTAATACAGGTAGGTACAGATAGCATGATACCCACTGAATTTTGTGGTGCAGCTATCAAAAAAACCCCCCCAAAACAGAAGAAAAAAACCACCACCACAACAAAAAAATCCCCAAACAAAACATAAACCACCACCTCATATACCTAAGATGTCTTATTTAGTACCTTTTTCTAATCTTTGGTGTCATAAGATGTCAATGGCAAACCTAATTGCATCCGCATTATCTAGCTCTCTCCGAAATTATTTGTACTATGCTTGTTGTCAATTCTTCTTTACTACAACATAACATTTTCCAGCAAAAGCTTCTTTTGAAAGAAGGCACTGATGCACCAAGCAGCAATAATTAATAAGCTCTGTCTGGAGAATTTGGGAATTATGCTATATTTTAAAGATGAATGCTCTTTCACTCACAAAGGTGATAGCTTTGTGCAGACAAAAACAATATATTTGCTGTAAATAGTACATATTTTACTGTCATTACACATATGTACCTACACTTTACAATTTGAGCTTAACTTGCAGCCATTTCAATACAGTATTCCTTCAGCACAATTAGAGTACTAAGCTCTTGCAAGTCATTTTTTACCCCCTCACCTCAAAGCTATATAATTTGCAATACCAGAGGTGTCACAGACAACCAACTAGAGATAGCTATTGGCAATTGTGGGCACATATACATGTACACACACGTACTCACAATATAAAGAACCCAAACTGAAGTCTGAGAGCAAAGCACTTCCAAAATTAATTGCAGGAACTGGAATCAGCATTTATATAAAATTTTCATCCTTCCAAGAAGACAGTGAAAGAGGTCCCAGGCACCACTCACACATGCACAGTTCCATGTGGCATTTAATACAGAGTCCAGTCTCACTGCACGAGCAGTATAGATTTTCTGAATAGTCAAGTTTACTATACATTCTCCAGGCTTCTAGGTTTGGTTTTCCTGGTTGGAATGTCCTTGTCAGATTAGGCACTGAAGCCCTTACTTTATGAGTACAGGCTTAAAACATTGAACATATGAGCAAATCAGAATCTTCAAGTGTAAAGCATAAGAATCAAGGTATATGTTTGTACTTCTCATTAGTATTATATAGAACTGCCACAGCTGGTAAGATTTTAATTTTTTTTTTTAAATATACATATGAAAAGTGCACTTAATTCCCAACATCTAAAAAACCCCCTACTTCCATGTATAATAGCCACATTTGTGTTTGTGTGGATTCTCTTTTTCAGTGAGTGACATGAATAGCAGTTTGCAGGACAGATATTGCAGATAAATGCAATAAGACATATTATCAAAATCATTTTACTAGAAAAATTTATAATATAAACACTCAAATTTTGTACAAAATGCTAGTAGTGAAATCAGTCCTGATCAGTCCTGAAATATTCCTGATTTAAGACTAAGCTATACTAAAGTGATAGATCTTGACTTCTAAATGATTCAAACATTCTTCAGTTTGAAAGAAACTCCTCTACTACTACTACTTTTGTTCTTTCCTAAACCTGTTTCTTCTCTCTGTATGTTCTTATAGATCACAGAATCACAGAATACGCTGATTTGGAAGGGACCCACAAGGATCATTGAGTCCAAGTCCTGGCCCTGTACAGGACCATCCATCCCCAAGAATCACACCATGTGCCTGAGAGTGTCATCCAAATGCTTGAGTATCATCCAAATGCTTCTTGAACTCTGTTAGACTTTTTGCTGTGACAACTTCCCTGGGGAGCCTGTCCCAGTGCTAAACCACCCTCTGGGTGAAGAACCTTTTCCTAATATCCAGCCCAAAACTCCCCAACACAACTTCAGGCCATGTCCTTGGGTCCTGGTCAGAACAGAGAAGAGATCAGTGCTTGCCCCTCCTCTTCCTCTCACAAGGAAGTTGTAACTGCAATGAGGTCTCCCCTCAGTCTCCTCTTCTCCAGACTAAACAGCTCAGCTGCTCCTCATAAGGCTTCCCCTCAAGGCCCTTCACTATCTTCATTGCCCTCCTTTGGATGGTTTCTAATAGTTTAATATCTTTCTTATATTGTGGTGACCAAAATGCGCTGAAAGCTATTACTTTGTCACTCAACTCTCTTTAGAAATTGATACTGTCAATTTTGTTCATTTTTATGAACAGTCAATACTGTTCATTTTTATTCTTATCTTTATAAGAAATTATTTCATTTGGTGTTAAATATCAAGTTATTGAATACAGGTTTTGATATTTGCATATTTCATTTGACTCTGAATATGGTTGCTTGATGTATTTGTAATGAGTCCTTACTCCTATGCAAGTTTCATTTACCTTAATGAAAAGATCAGTTTGCCAATTGTCTCCATCAGTAAATTTGGATCTTCAGTTATTATCACTTGTTACATTTCTTTCCCTAACTTCCCACCTCAGTGTCACCACAGGAACAGAATATTTGTTTGGGAAATAGAGACACAGGAACACACCTGAGTTTTGCTTTAAAAAACAACAGCAAACTAGGTGGGAAAACTCTCTTCTGAAACCCAAACTGTGATTATATTTTAGTATCAGAACTTTAACAAGGAATCATGTTGGTGTAGCCTACATTTTTAATGTAGTCCTTCAGCCAGTGTAGACATAATTGAGTTTATAAAAGGTAGTTTGTTAGAGAAGTGATAAAGCACCAGAAGCAGCTCACAGAGTTTTGTGTGAAAGAAGAGACTTGTATTTACAAATAAAATTCATTACTAATTTTTAACAGTGAGTATTTAATGAACCCAGTATAGAAAATACTGCCTGGCAAAGTCTCTGGTTAATATCCAGGTTAAGCTCTGCAACAAAACCAATCTCACCTGTACCAGCACTAGGCCTTTCTTACAGATTACCCAGCACATGTAGCTAATAATAATTAGATGTGGTTTTCTTCCCAGACTCAACTCCCTCCTGTCCTGAGCAAACCTGGGTTTTACCAAGCCACCAGAGCATCTGCAGTGCGCGGCCCCATCGTCTCGACATTTGCCTGTTTTCCCAATAGTTTGCCCAGCTTGCAAGCCATGGCGTGGAAGGTAACGTGCAGGCGTCTGGCATCCCTGCCCTCCCCATCCAGTTGTGATTTTTTGGCGTCCTGCGACCCCTAGTGAGAGCCGGGGCGGGCGGGAGGGCAGCAGCCAAGCCTGCCCCCGCCGCTGGCCCGCCGGCCCGGGGCCGCCAGCGCCGCCGGGATCCCGCCAGGCACCCGCTGTTTCCAGGTCGCGGGCAAAAACATCTCTCTAGGGGTTTCCGTTTCCCCCGTTAACTGACTGAAAGCTACAATAAAAACACAATAACGCGTTGCCTCTGGTCGCTTCGAAACAATGCGGTGATTGTGTTGCAACTTCACACAGAAAGCTGCTGTAAACTCTCAAGGCAATGGAGGGAGAGGCAAGAGACAGCACCCGTCTTCTACATACCACCCCAAAAAAAGAAAGAAATGAAATTACCAGCTACGCTTCTACTTAATTATGTACGTGTAAGGCCTAAGCCTTTGCAAATAACAACCATCAGTATTTGTTTGCCCACTGACGTTAGGAAAACATTGGTGAGAGGTTGGTCTCACAGCATTCAAAATTGCAAGCTAAGCTTTTTGCTGTTGTCATTATGCTCAGATCCACCAGAACAATGGAGTTTAAAACAATGATTGATTCTGTTCTAAACACATACATGAATTAAAAGCTGAGAATGTAAACATGCATTTATTGAAGAGAAAAGGGTGTTTCTAAACTTGGTTCAGTTCCCTCAACTAAGATCAACTTGGTATTCATATACATGTATCAGAATATGTTGGAATGTACGGACTGTGTTATATATCAAACTGTTTTCTGCACTTAAACATACTCTACACACACTTTTAGGGCCACTGTTACAGCATGAAAGGGGTGAGTGCTGTTTTAGTTCCTACCATTTACGAATAAAACATGCAAACAATTCTACCTAATGCTAAAAAGAAACATGTAAGAGCTTTAATATTTTGATCATTCAACCGAAATTATAATACACAATAACTAGTCCAAATAGGACACTTTTTCAATGGAAAGATCTTGACAATCTGACTTGTGAAGCACTGCTACCTATCAGATGAAAAGATTCCAGGATATGAAACGTACCTGGTTTTCAAAGACACATATTAATATCTTGTGATGTTTTCATTTCCAAAGAAACAGTAGAAGCTGAGAATGAGGGGGTTTTATCCAGATGTTTATATCAAAATAATTATGGCTTGCCTTCGATGAATAGTATTGCCTTCTGATTTGTAACTTCCTAAAACCCACTAAGTCCAAAGTCAAGCCATCTAGTTATTCAAACTTCCTAGAAGTTTCCATTTGCTTACAAGTTGAGTTGGTCCGTATCATACTTGGAACCAAAACCAAAAAGTTCAAAGGTCTTCAGCAGCTCAGGTTTTAAAACCTACTTTGAACTCACTTAAACAACTTTCTTTGGGAGTTGAAATTCTCGCAGATGTTTTAAATTCTCACAGATATTTGCGTAATGGGAATGTAGATAACATGAATGTTAGATGAGCCTGCAATTGCCATCTCCCATTTTTCCAAATTTTTTTTGCATGGTTTAGTGCCTCCTATCCTCCTATCCGTTCGTCACTTTGCTAAATAACCACTTTAAGCAACCTACTGTCAAGCGTATAAATTGCCTCTGAGAAAATGACTAGTGCAGAGAATTCATTGTTAGTTATACTACTTTTATGTGTTTAAAACACTTATTATATGCTTCTAAGGAAAAAAAAGAAGTTACCTTTCTGCAGCAATGTCAAGGATATCACAGCTTGCATAACCCATAATAGTACATGAGTGAACAAATTGTAGAAGAGCTGTGTCTCTTCTACAAAAATCTCTCCTCGACCTGTTAGGCTGATTTTTCTTTAACTTTGCTCCACATATGGGCAACCTATTACACAGAAGTTTTTATAGGCCTGCTTGGCTGAGCAGAGAAGCTGCAAACCTGTAATACTAATATAATCCTGTTGTGTCACAGTGAGGGAGGGAAGGGCAAACAGTCCATCAGAGGCAGTAAACCTGATTCTGTGCAGCAATGTGCATCATGCTGATGTCTTGGTTCGTGGCTCTTGGGTCCTTCACTGCTGCATGAATCAATCTGTTTAAAAATATTTTTATGCAATTGGAAATGTACATTACTAGAAGTAAATTGTATACTTTTTAGAGCATATGGTTTATATTCAAAGTTTTATCTGATTTACCAAAGGCCTAAGCAGAAAATAAAGATTTTTTTTTCCTTAACAGTTTTAAGAGCTTTCTTTAAATCACTTGTTCTTTTACCAAATAATTCTGGGAATTCTCAGAAAATGCAAATTCTGAGTTGATATTTACATACATTCTCTGTAGGTGTCAGCATTGCTTTATATTGTTGTAGAGAACTGTTTTTTCTTTTTCTCAGAGAAAGACGACATGCAGATTTGTCGTTTTCCACATGAAAGATAATTTTTATGTTGCTAGTTTGTATTTTACCATCCATTTTAGACTGAGAGATTCAATACTATATGGCATAGGTGCGACCAAAGTAAATGAACAGAAAAAATCCTAAGTTGTTTTTCTATGCATCCATTTTCAGTTTTAAAACCTTTCATTCCAGTTATTTTTTGTATAAATACCATCCTTATTGATATAAACACAAGGTTCATGTGTTTATATCACATAACCTTTGCAAATGTTTCTCAGATGTTGAAAGGAGCAACAATTCCATTATGTAAATATAGTGTGAATCTATCTTCTTTACATAGACTATAGAGGAAAACTGTGGAATTCTAATGGAATTCTCAAAAAAGCCACCATAGGGCAAATATATTTAATACTTTCATTCATAAACTTACCATACAAAAGAAAAGTATTCTACTGAAATCTGTTGATAATACGTTATTGAGATGAATTATCCATGCAGAAGGCAATTGTACTATCATACTAGAAGTGAATGACCTCGGGAGCCAACATAATAGTAATTGGATGAAAATTAATTGTACAAAGTGCAAGATCGTAAAAAAGGGTAAAACCAAGGATTGTTTTCAGGATCTCAGGCATAAAGAGTGCTTGAAGAAAGATGTGAATTAAATAGTCAAACAAAATTATTATCAATCTCCTATACCCATGAAAGAGAAACACAATCCAAGCAACTATGAGGCAAGATATTTCCAATTAAAAAAAAAAAAGGGAAACTATGTCATTATTACAAACTCAAGTATATATGAAAATTACTTGAAATGGGGCATACAGTTCTGACAATTGCTCTTATCAGAGGAACAGAGAGCTTCTCTTCCAGGAGGCTATTAAGAGAGCACTTCAAAATCATTTGAAGGGATAAGTTAGCTTTCTATACGAGTAGTGGAAAACAAACTGACTACATAAAAGTAGCATCAACACAAAAAAAAAAAAAAGTCTACAAACTGCTCAAGAATGACATTAAAGCTGGGAGAGGGATTCTGGCATCACCACCCAGAAGGAATAACAGAGGAAGAAATCCTGCCTACTTTTCAAAGGGAGCTCAAAAGAGAACATCTGCTTGGTCTAAGAATGTGATAGAGTTTGTGTCCCAGGGAGGTCCCAGTAGCCCAGTCTTTCATTGCATTATGGGTTTGAAGCAAGGTTTGTCATTAGTGCTATGCCATTATCTATTGATAAAGTCAAGTGTTACCTTACAGACATTGATTGTGGGCAGGTTTAGATGATCTATTTCTAAGTGAAATAGAACAGATGAGAGTTTGAGGGATTTTTTCCAGTAGTAGCCTCAGAATCTATTTAGACTAGAACTATCCTTCAAGTGCAAGTGACAAGCATCTTGATTACAAGGACTTCTCAATGTTGGCTGGCTCACAACCAACATTTTTGAGTTAGAGAATTTAATCTAGATAAGGATTTCAGACTGGGCATTTACTTAAGTGCAAGTTTTACCTACATGTTTTCATAACACATACTCTTTAGAAGAGGTTGTTTCTAAAGATTTGTTTACTTATACATTTTATTCTTCTTTGCCCCCCTCCCGCTGTGTCTCTAATAAATAAGTTTTGTCCATAACACTGTAGAGATACACTGACTTATTTTTAGGTCATCTCAAAAGTACTTAGGAGCTCCTATTAATGGCACAGCGGAACGCTGAGTTTTCTATAATTCTGTGGCTGCAGAATCTTGTCTCTATCATAGATTTGCCCTTGGGTTGCAGAATAAACAAAGAGAGTATTTATAGCCCTTCTCATGCAAAGAGATTTGATCATTCAAAAAGAAGGCAATGAATTGCACAGTACTTTCTGTATCCCCAGGCTAGGTACTAATATTAGTGTTAAGGAAAAGCTGATGTCACCTGATCTGTCACAGTCTCTGCTTTTGTACATCTCTGGGTAACAATGGGCCAAAAAGGCTGACTATTATTTTTGAATTAATTTATTTCAACACAGTTCTATTGTCATGACAGATTTAGAAATACTGTCCTCCACCTGAATTACATCAGACTGCTATAGTTGATACAGGATATAGGAAAAATCAAAGCAGCCCTTCTCAGAGTCCACCCAAAGAAAGTTTTAAGGAAACAGATGGCTCTGACCATTTGGAAATGGCCCACAGGTATTACTCTTACTAAATAAGAGAAGCTGGAGATGAGGTAGACAAAGCCTAAATTATACTTTTTTTTTCTTTTTTTTTTTTTTTTCAGACTGTGATTTGATTCCCACATAAGATTCAGATGTTTATTGTGAAATTCAAAGTTGTTTGTACTATAAGGCAGGAACTGAACAGAATAAGCTCTATGACTTAACTGGTCTTCTCAAAGTCCTTCTCTACCCTCTAAACCAAATATTCTTGGTTTTGAGGAGTTTGATTTAAGCTACAACTTACAACTTGGCACACAGCTCAGCTGTGCTTTTATGAGTGTACCCCTGGCTGGAAGCCTCACTTACTCAGCTGGATTGACTCCGCTGTGGCTCAGGGTACTTGTGCTAAGTACACACACTTCCATGCTCACAATCATAGCCACATCCGGACCCTCCTCAACCCTGAAATATTCCCATAAAGCTCAGTTTTAATTATCCTGAACGAAGGTTGACTGCTGTGGATAGAAACTCAAGTAAAAACATCCTATGTAAGTTTATGATTTTACCTCTTCTGTGATGAATAACTACCTAAAAAGCAAGGTGAAGTTTTAGAGTCATAAAATATATTAGAATCCAGCAGAGCCATCAAATTGATCTCCCTTTTAGTTATCCCTTCTTTTACCTGTTTGCTGTAAATCCAAAATCCAAATTCTTACTAAAAAAAAAAAAAAATTAAACATTCAAATCCTTAAAACAAACTGGTAAAATGATGCAGAATAATGACAGATTGAATAAGTGCACACGTGCAAAGAAATATTTATAGATTACTAATGTATTGTCATGTACATTACATTTTTTCTTGCAATAGGTGAAGAGAAAATGGAAGTACTTTCTAAGTGATCAATCACTTAGAAAATAAAAATAATATTTGGGGAATCTCAGGTTGTTTTCCCACTGTAAAACAGTACAGTGATTTTCAGTTGTTACTTCGGATCATAAGGACTAGAAACCAATAATATCTTGAAAAGGGAAGAATCCCCTTATGAGCTGAAAGGGATAAAGTTTGAAGATGTCAGAGAAAGAAAAAGTCATTTTTTGATCTTATGATACTATGATTTAGAGAAAAAAAATTCACATTTTGGAAATATCTGGGCAGATTGGAACTTGCAGTTCAACTTTAAGTACATTTACGCAAGCCCCTTGCAAAACAGCTCTTAATTTGATTGCACACTAAATTTTCCCTCAAGTGCAAGAATGAACAGTAATCATGGAACTTAACACTTAGTTTCATATTGGTTGTACAGGATGTGGACCTATGCACTCAGATTTCTAGGAAAATGAGGTTTTCACAGTTTATGGATACCTCTGAAAAGCTGTTTGCTTTTTCCCCCCCAAAACAGTACCTCACAGCATTTTTTTGGCAAAGACAGTGACAGGAACTCATTCTCTGGGCAACATACAGTTTCCTCAGCTACAAGATCATCCTTTCTTTTCTTGACATCCCAACTCATTCAAAACACATATCCCAACTTCCTCAACAAAACTGAGATGAGACTTGCAAACAACAGACTCTTTCACTGTGTTGTGCTGATTCATTCCAAGCACTGTTCATCCTGCACACTGAATGAGGCAGTCCTGTGGGAAAACAAAGGATGAGATCATGTAATTAAAGACTATCTTATAATGTACATGGGGATTGAACTATAATGGCCTCAACGGTCTCAATTCTATTTCCTAACTCTTGAGTGATTAGTGGTATTTGTTTTCTAAATGTAACCATCACTAGTTATGAGTAAAGACATTAAAAAATAGCCAAAAACTCCAAACTAAAGAAATACCCACATGAAACTATACCAATTACTACTCTATGGTATGCAAGGATAATTACCAGTAGATCCAACCAGAGCAGAAAACAACACTGCTTTTTTTTTTTTTTTTTTTAACATCCTATTCTCAATTTTCCTATCCATTAATGTTTATATGTTTTCCAGAGACATTTAAATTTTAATGAAATTCTGCCAGATGAAACTATTTTGAAATCCTGCCTTCTGATTCCCACCACAGGCTTGCTTACTTCAGTGGGATGCTGATGAGCCTATCCATATTCCACAGGCCTACCTGATAAACACAGAGATCTTACAGACCCTGCTCCCTGTCATTTCTCTTCTGAGTGCTCTGTCAAGTTGGACACAAAATGGTCATTCCATTCTGAAGGAAATTTAACTCTCTTTGCAAGTGTTCTAATTTAAATGCATTAAGCTTTGTAATGTCTCCTAGAATGGTTGTCATTCCCCCCTCTCCCAGCACAAGTCTCTGGTACATGTACAACTTTTTTTTTGAAGCTGAAGGCCTGAAACCCACATTATTCTCTGACTGTCCCAAGAGTTCAATCTTCTGCAAGCTGACAGCCATTCCACAGTAAGAGATTATTTTGAAAAAACATCCCTCCCCCCTGAAATTCTAGATCCAAAAAGCACTTTGTTTTGTTGCAGAGAAACAGATTTGGGACAATCACACCACATGTTTTCTGTCTCAGCACACCAGTACTCTAATGCCTAGTGCTGTCAGGCAGCAGCATAGGCAGGGCTGCTCTGCAAGGGGTGCCAAACCAGGAGCCCAGGTCAATCCCAGCACCAGACAGGGTACAGTCCCACAGCACATCAACATCGTGG